CATTTGAATTGGACATCCTCTTCACATGGGGTTTATTCATCAAGAGTCTACTTTTTTTTTTGCGGGATTTCCTTTTTGGTTCCTTTGGTTAAGTAGACTGGAGACGTCCACCGCCGTCGCAGGTGGCCACCTGGAGCGCTCATCGTCTGGGGTCCAAAGAACACCCAGGCTGTCTATCTCCAAAGAACACCATCCAAACACCGGGCTCTCAAACTGTTTGAACTCTATATACAACTGGTCCCTGTTCTGTGAGGTTTCTTGTTTGACCTGGCATTTCTTATATCAGCGATTTGGAGGCTGTGGGCGTTTGGGGTGCAAAAAGGGGCCTAGCTTCTATGATATATACCTTTCTTTGATCTTCAAGTGGTTGCATCGATTTTTACACCTGCACTGGGGTCAAATTATAGTCGCACGGTGTTTGCAGAGCATTCCTCTCAGAAGTTTGGGGACAACATTCCACCAGTCCGTGCGTTGCTCTATATTTTTTTCCTGCAATCTTTTGTCAAGTTGCAATCAATCGATGTGTTTCCTTCCTGGGCCTTCCACTCTGCTCAGCCGGGGCACTGTGGAGCATGAATCTACAACTTCACTGAACGCAAGACTGCTCCCACCTGCTCCGAAACCATTTCTGGGACGAGCTCGTTTGACTCGTTTGTCTCGACTATTTTCAGAGCCTCACTGGACAGCATTTTTGTGGGTGGCTTTTGCCATTTGGGCAGGACACGAGTTGAAACTAGAATGTACAAGATTTTGCTGAGGATTTAAACAGCAAACAGAAAGCAGGGACATTTGTTGCACATTTCCATATTCTGTTCGCTTGAGGATGAGTATTGTTCATGGGCCGTGGCTGAGGTGTTCTTCACGGCTCTCCTTCTAGCTTCTCTGTAGAGACTTCAGATCGTGCTTGGTAGATTTATTGATTCTCGGATTTGTTTGTGAGCCTGCACCAAAAGTGGAAACATGTTGTTGATCCTGCATCCCGCTGAACCAAGTGGGCACGCAATTTGAAGCACCTGCAAATGGTTGCACGGCTAAACCACGTACTTTTGCTGTGAGGACCCAGGAATGAATGTGACAGAGAGCAGTACATGTGACATATATAGATACAGTAGATAAATATGTAGATAGATATTACCTGTGTGTTCGGTGTAGAGCCCTGAAAGACCTCTGAGAAAAGCAAACATCCCTTGGCGCCACCGCCGTCGCGTCATCTAGGTGGCGCCACCGCCTGGGGCCTCGGCTTGAGCGCAACGGGAGGCATGGGCATGTGGTTGTTGCTAGTAATTAGTAATGGCCTCCAAGCTGATGGCGATGGCCTCCACCTAGTAGCTTCTAGCTACTAGTTATATATATATACAGTAATAGTAATGCCAGGAGCTACTAGTCAGTTCTTTGAGTATGATAGTGCTGGGCTCCCAAAAGTAACTTTTTGGTATCAAGAGCCAGCCTGGACATGAGTTTTAGTTGTCCTCACACAATTTTCTGGAGGCAGTTACGTGGGGTTGAACCTTTAGTTGGACTTGGCCATCTTGGGGGAGAGGGGAACGCACAAATGCAGCCAGTGGTTTCACCAGTGATTCTTTTGGAACTAACTGAGAAGCTGAGACTCGGAAGGAAACGGCATGCACGGGTGAGCACGGAACACGGATCTGAATGACAAAAGAAAATAAGTGTTGGGTTCTTCATGCAAAGCGTTGTGCATCCAGTTGATTTTGGGCTCGAAAACAAATCATGTGGCAAAAACAGCTGAAAGGAGGAATCCCGCGTGCCTGTGATGTCACACCAGTCATGTCTCCCAAACACAGTCCCGAGAAAAGGCCCCAACCAAAAAACACGTGAAATCAAAAGGCTTGGTAAATCATTTGGTTCCTTGGGGAATTTGTTGGGTTTCAGACGAGCCCACATAGGGCACGAGATGTCACATAAGTCATTTGTTTATTTGGGTATAGGGAGACATTCCTCCCTATCAACATACACAACCATTTCGACAGACACTGATGTTATGGTGGGTTACCTTTACTTTATTCGCCGTGATTTCCAGCTCACATGATGCCTCGCTCTGATACGTCGCAAGAATCCACAAGCTCAGAACACATGACGGTTCAGTTGGCCCTTGCTTCAGTTGGCCCATGTTTCCACGGTCATTGTCAATGGGCATAGAGGAATTGCCGTCCCAACATCACACCGTGTCAGTTGGGTTGACCTGGCCGATTTGAGCTCCGCCGCGCGTGGCGTCGCGTAGCGTTTCCGCCGGAGCCCGTGCGAAGCATCGTGGAATTGCCACGGCTGGGCGAATGGAGAGCTCACACGGCCGCTTTCTGGCGCTTCGCCTGCTTCCTGGAGATGATTTGAAGGAGAGGGCATTGCTACTAGGGTGGAGGCCATTGCTCTTAGGTTGGAGGCCATTGCTAGTAGGGTGGAGGCCATTGCTCTTAGGTTGGAGGCCATTGCTAGTAGGGTGGAGGCCATCACTTCTGGGTTGGAGGCCATTGCTAGTAGGGTGGAGGCCAGCCCGGACAAGAGACAGATATTTTTGGGAGAGTTAGAAATGACGGTCGACAATGAATGCTGGTATTTCCCTTTCTTGAGACGCAGAATGCACATGTTCTGTTCTTCTTGAAGTTCTAGTGTAGGAGATTCTTTCATTCTGTTCACCAGTGATCATTGCAGCGTTTCACTGTTTTCCTCGCGATCATCAGCGTCAAGCCAAGTCAAGCCGCCATGAACAAGCGCATACACATCAAGCGAGGTGTGTCTCAAACACAAGAGTCAACTGTATTCCCCTTTTCTGGGGATCGTTGATGGACTTTGTCTCATTCAGCTTGCAACGTTTGTTTGCAACAGGGGGACACGTGCTGCGGCAAACTGGGGGGGATTCTGAGACACTATGAGACACTTCTCATCTTGCTCCTGGCCAAAAGCCGTCGGAGCGTCGGGACGTTCCGGGGCCTCCCGTGTTTTCCACCGCGCGACATGAGCGACGAGATGAGTTCCCGGTCGTCGATCCTGGGCAGAGAGATGGCCACCTGGGCGCTTGGGTGGGGTGGGCAGGTACGTACTGGTTTTGGATTGAATTGATGGCAATGGGTTGTTCATATTTATTTTCCCCCCTATATTTAACTTACTTATACTTGTGCAAAATAAATCAACAGAATGCTATAATTATGCAGTATAGCTATGCAAAGATCTTCCTCTATTTTCCTTTGGTTCTCACGGGCGAGCCATCGCTTGTACACTTGAAATTTTAGTCGCTTGTGCACTTGACAGTTGTGGTTTTGTTTTATAAGACGGATCGTGCTTGTTTTGGTTGTTGCGATTTTTTCTGAAGGTTTATGGTGCATTTAAGCTAGCAAGTCGGAAGACAGGGTGTCCGTGAGTGATTCATTGGTCGTCTTCTCCTGCATCCATGGCTCCAAAGACACGGAGAGACATACGTCAAAACAATTTTCAGTCCTGGCTGCACACGTACACTACACAAACAACACACCCACGCTGAAGCAATTGAGTCTGCGTGGCAGAAGTGTGCTTTGAAAGGCAATCAAAACGTGAGTGTGTGTGTGTGTGTCCACCTCTGTAACTAAGAGTTTCTGTTTTTCTCAACTTTTAAGTCGCAGGGGGCGTGACGGTCGATTTCCTAGTCACGCCAACGAAGCTAGG